AGTAAGCAAAAACAAAATAATAAACATATAGAATTGGTTTCATAAATTTATGACAATTAATAAAGCACTTTACAACAAATTTATGACATGAAGCACCATTAGTTTGACATTAACACAAATATAATCAAATTTATTGAACTTCTAGCTTATCAACACCAACATGACATATTTTTCAACAGTGATAATTTATAATAACACCACAAATGGGCACCGAACTCAATGAAAAAGTTGAGTAAGTAATTAGAATAAACCAAGTGGAAAATCGTACATTTTATAGTTTACAATTCATATCGAAGGACCTACCTTTATTCGCTCCTTAGTTGTTAAGTCCGCCTGCACAAAACTAGTATCGAGTATCGTTGCGAGAATTGTAAGAATACTGCAAATAGAATTTAATCAATTAATTTTATTTTTCTCTTGCAGAGCAAGCCCCAAACTATTTAACAAATTATTTAGGAGCGGAAATTGAATGCTTCATCAAGTCAATCACATCTCTGAATCACTTCCGATTGATTCCCAACACATCAATGCAATTTAGAAGGCAAAAAAAACTCCTTTGAAGTATCTAGATCTTTTTACTAGAACTTTTTACAACGCTTTCTGTGAAAACGAGCCACTGTTTGGCGGCTGGGCAAACAGATCTTGATTAAATCCAGCTGAGCAAGATGTTCACCCCGCCCTCTTTGCGCTATCAAATTTGTATCTGTTGAAAAAACCACTTACTCGGTTTTCAGAAGAGATTGAGCTTCACAGGGTTTCGAGATACTATTTTCTTACCTGAATATCAACCACAGCTTCGCCATTTCTATGCCTGAAAAGGTCAAGGAGACACATTTAATGTAAAATATTATTAAATCAGTTCATCCGAATACAATTCAAATCTTAAGGAACTGAAGCGCACTTGAAATTCCCATATACCAAAGCCTAATATTTACAAGCTACAAAATTACTTTTTCTATGTACTTTTAGATATATTCGCCAGCGATTTAAGCGATCTTTAATGTTTGCAGTACGCATGTACAGGCTTTGTATTAGCAGCTCGCCAGAGAGGAACTTGAGTTCCATTATTTTCATTGATTACGATTAAACCGACCGTGACTATTCGACTGGAATGGATGTACTTTCGGCAGCATATAGCAAATAGCATACACTACCAACATCCGTGAACAAAAATGGGAAGGGCGTATTTCATTAGAAGCCTCCACACCCACTCAACATTTTGGAGCTATGTATGAGCACACAACTATTGCGTATACTACGAATACGCACATCAGATATGTTATATAACTATGTAAATCAGTTCGGTTCTCAGGCTGGGGCTTTGGAATTTCGCCTAAACCATGGTTCTTGTATATATCTTTTAGGAACCATAAATTTAGATAACTTAAATAACTGAATAATCTAAGTAAAGACTTAGTATATTATTATCATAGTTGGATCCCAGCTTTTACACATGAGCTACATGAAATCTTTGCCCTAATGTCACATCATGGTGTTGTATATATATGGGGTTAGCAGTTCCAGAGGAGACTCCTTATGAAGAGCAAAGTGCTCTGCCGCCAGTGACACACATTCTTTGGGCGGCAATTGCATACCCTAGAAGTGTACGAGTAGCGGGTATGCGAGTTCCTAATGTCACAATGGACTTTGCCTGCTTATCTGTGTCAATAGGGCCATTTTGAGCCAATCGCGCAGTGCAACTGCAGTTGCCCATGTGTGTTGCAATGGCATTAGCACTTCAGCATGCCACTGAACTCAGAAACACTCAATTCAAAGAGTGCGGATATTATGAAGAACTTGCATTAAACTGAAGTGTTTGGAAAATGTTCAATCGTTCGGCCATGGAAGGCAAATCACCCAGGCCCCAAAATATTTTGATACACATGTCATATTCGTATTTCTCGCATTCTTGTATTTCGTCATTGACGCTTCTCCATAAATTACATGTGAAACTTCCGCAATTAGCAAAACGGGAAACTATTTTGAAACATATGTGTGCGCGCAGATGGGATTGTTTAAACTGAAATGGGATTTGGAGGAAAATGCTAGTGCCTGTCATTAGATTTCGCTCTCAGATTTGGACAACTACTTTTGCGGCTCACTGCCTGCCTGTATTATTATCCGATCGATCCCAAAACCGAACGACTGCAATTACGCTGCCACATTTAAGGCATGCAAAATAGTGTGGTCTTTTGGGAAATCGAAAACCCCATCGACAGAGGGCCTTCTTTCATTATGCATTCAGTACTTGAGTGATTACTGTCATCGGGCAGATAACGACTCGATTTGAGCGAGGTGAATTGGTCTGTCCCACAACGAAAGCCCGAATCAATTAAACGCGTTTCCCAAAATGCAATTAAGCCCATATTCAAAATGTCTTCGGACCTTTGAAGAGGCCAAGAGTTAACAAACCGAACCATTGTGGGCATGTAGGTGCACTGAAAAGGTCTTCAAAGAAATAAAAGGACATGTCACTCAAAACGATCAATTATCAGAATACCTTACTCTTTCGTTACGATCACTAAACAATTTTAATTGGGTTTTTGAATCACAAAACTGTGATTTGGCTATCAAGTAAAAGGATCTCAGCTTTGATGTTGCAACAAAATCACTTAACAAGAAACACAGGGATTTTGTCAATTTTCTAAGCTTTCCTTCATTCTTCGCTCGATTAGATATTTGCAAAAAATATAGCACCCCGTGTATCACTGCACGCCTAATTCTGGATTAATTGAAGCCGTCGTCTTCATCGCGTGGTACTCAAATCCGAACTGAAATCCGAACTGAATTTTCGGGAAAGCCGCTTTGGGAACAAAAGTGCTGGAGGCAGAGCGCGCTGCGAGCATCAGCGCAGCTCTGGCGATCGAGTGGTGCTAACAACGGCACCCGTGGCTCCCCGATTTCCCCGGAGGCGGAGGAGGCGGAGGAGTGGTGCCCCATCCCCATCCCCATCCCCCAGACCCAACCACAGCACTCACATGGGCATAGCGTCGATTGCCAGCGCCACCCAAAAGTCTGGAGCCAAACGTGCGTACATACAGATAGGCGCACATCCACGGCACAGCTGTGGTCGCAAAAGTAGCTAAGCGAAAGTTTTATATTTATGAATATTTTATCTCAAGCTGAACAGTTGGGTGAGCTTTAAGTTTGCTCAATTATTTTAAGCGGCATGAACAAGGTACTTTTCCCTTCTTATTACATTTATCTATAACCCTTGGTTATAACCATTTATCTATTATTCCTTGTAAGAAATGCATTAGACATAACATTGGAGGCAAGATAATATCAGATAAAATCCTAAGAAGTTTTTTTCGATTGGGTCATGAGAAATAGCTGAAGAGTTTCGACTTATTCATTAATTAGTTATTAGTTAATTATTATTAGTTATTTATGAATCTTAAAGTTTACTGTACATATAATAGTTAATTATTAATATTAGAGTTTACTATACCTATAAAGCTTAGAGATCGCACTTTATCCAAATCTGTGTTGCTATTCCGCTGACCGCAGGTGTGCCTGTGACCACGGGTGAGTTACAATAATGTGGGTGATGTCTCTGCATATGTATGCATTTAACTTTATGTAGCTTTCAGCGGAATATCAATGCGAGAACAAATGTACATTCGAACCTTACGCAAACGCTTAATGCGAAAGTGATCCGGGGAAATTTATGGAGCCCAAATTGGTTATAATTTAGCAGAACTCAATCCGGACTTGAGCTTCCCACACAGAAACTAAGAGAAGAAGGGTGTCAAAATGCCAAAAACTTAGTAAGTTGGCTTTATAAACAAGAAAACTTGAAGATATGAACGTCTTACTTACTTTACTATAAAGCTAGATTGCATTTTTGGAACAAAAAGGTATTACTGAGGTAAGCAAATATCCATACAGTAATTCCAGCTTAAAATCTATCATTTGCTTTTAGAACACATAAGTTTCATTATCCTGTATGCTTTCGTGTATTTTCCTCTTTGTTTTCAATTTTTACACATTTTTCAATAATTTCGCAGTAATAAAAAGTCTTTTTTTTCCTTGATCAAACTCAGAGTATGGTTTTTCATAGAAATAGAATTCTTCAATGTGGATTTTACCAAGACAAAGCCCATCTTGGCAACTTATTGAAACTGGGCTTGTGCATCATTAATTTTGTATTTTCAAGATTGGGTGGCTATTAATTGGGTCGTTTGTTGCTATGCTGATATGGAGCAATAAATCTTCATTTTGGTTTTCTATATAATTACACATTAGCTAGTTTCGAACACACTTAGGTCAACTCTGCTCGCCTACATGAAGTAGAAAGCCCAAAATCTCGGACAATGGTGCTTCAAGTAATTTGATCTACTATATCCAGTTTGAATAGAACCACTGCCCTTTTATAAAGGCTTTACTTCACAGAAAGCCTTTTAAACTCCGTCGACCGCAAAGATGCAATTAACCCTAAGCTTCATTGTGCAATAAATCTTAATTAATCTTAATTTCTCTTTGTGGAATTAAGTTAACGGAATTCAATTAATGGCACTGTGCAACCGAAAGTGCACTTATTTCAAGCGCAGGAGTGATTTTTTAATTAATGGAGCAGTTTAGTCATTTTTCCACTGTGCAAAGTAATTTAATAGTGTAATTCTTCTCATGCCACCTATTGAGTTCAGGTAACAATAAATGTGCGTTTACATTTACATATAGAGTAAATAAGTATATAAGTATTTAGTTCCTAATTATTGCTATAACTTCAAAAGTGCCCCTACTACATATTTCACAATCTGTAGGCGGTCATAAAAATTGACATAATGGCAGGGGCGGATTCGTAGTAAAATATTGGGGGAACTGTTTGAGCTATGAAGTAACTGTTTGAGTAATAAAATTCATTTAATGATTTTGTGTTCATATTACGTTAATTACTTGATGTTTAGTGGGGAAAAACACTTTCAATTACCCGATTATTTATAACATTCGTGTGTGTTCATTTTCGATGGTAGAATAAATTGAATGCGTGAGATGAGCAACTTTAAACTTTCTGTGTGTTTTATTAATAACATTATACACTATTAATATATCTAGCTTTCACTAACTGGAAGTCTTTTCAACATTGGCTCACGTATGTTGTAGTGATCTACCATTTTCTGTAATGTAATGCTTATCAATTTTAATGTATTAGACATAAGCTGCGGTACAAACCTCACAAAAGGAAACATCGATGGAGCAAATTGCCTGGGCCGGTTCGTTTTCTTCGACTGATCTTGAATTCACAACGCGGACCAACGGCAAACCATCCTCGCCATTTTCAATGGAAATATAGTTCTCCTTGACAAGAAAGGAAAGTTGCAAGGCGTTCTGAACGGTTTCCATAAAGTTGTCTGGATGGCAAATTAATTTAAAATACGGGATTGGCTCTTGATTGCCCTCTCGATATATTTGTCTTATTTGCTTCATCATGTGGGTGACGGACGCTGCTCCTTCGTCCTTGCGTTCCAATTGGTCACTCTTTTCGGGACGCTTCTCTGTTACCTACAATACCAATAATAATATGAACAAATAATACTGTGTGGAATTGTTTAACTAATGGCTTACTTGAGATTTCTGTTTGCGGGGAGCACGTTGCTTTTGAACCACCTCCTTTGGAGTAACATCTATGAAGGGCAGCATACTATCATTGGTGAAGAGCGGACTGCCGAACTGAATAGCCAATGAACATACAGCATCCCAATCCTCTTCGTTCTCTTTGAAAACCAAATCGTTCTGTCGAAGGATCAAGCATTACGGCAAGGCATAAATAAAGCACACAGTGCACCCACGATCGCCGTGACCAGCATTCGGTCCGTGAAGTTGGTGTTATGTTGGATAGCCTTTCCCACAACTTCGTGATTGCGTCGCAGTAACTCCGTGTCCAGGACAAGTTCCGTGGAGTTTGTACGGAGGGCGTCGTGTCCCTCGCTGATATCGTTGGCTGTTCGAATGATTTCCTCTATGGCCGCAATAGACTGGCCAAAGGTATTGTCTTCGATCTGTTGCTCTGCAATAGATTAAACAATTAGTTATTTTATTTAAGATTTTACATGCAATAGCTTATCAACTTACCTATCTCAATATTCTTATCGATCAGATTTTGCAGACACAAAATGCGAGCGTCTCTGGCCAACCCCTCGTTTTGCGATTGGCTTTGTGACGAATCCATAGTATTCTTATCTAAATACCAAACAAATCAAATTAAAGTTAAAGGCAATTTGGAATGAACATCAAAAAGTTGCTTTGAAAATGATTTCGGGAAATCTGTAAACAACTGTCTATCGATATTTAGTGTTGTCAAGATACCACCACGTTTAGACTGATGGGAACGGGTCCATCGAAACGATACTGTTTTCACACTGCCACTACAGATAGGAAGTCTATCGATAGCTCCAGCTTGTTATCGTACAATTGTTGTTTCTTTGATATTTTTAACATTCAGCTGATCAATGTAAAATTAATTACAAATTATTCAATTACAATATAAATCTCAGTTGCAGATCCACATTTATTATCACTAATCTGGGTTTTAGACAATGGGAACTGGGTTCTAACATCTAATCAATTACAATGACAATGTCAACTAAAACAACTCAATAATCTAAAGACCATTCGTTCTCCGCAATGAAACAGTCAACCACTTCCTTCATTGAAAAATTTGGTATTAGTTGATCCTGAGTGAGCTTAACGCGTGTAACAGGATCGAAATGTCCAACGCGCTGTAAATGCTCTTCTATATCTTTTCGTTCATAGGTAATTCCAGATGGAGTTATCACAGGGTCCGTTAATATTTCAAAACTTATTTTGCCACATAGAAAATCGGGAACGTCACGTTTCTGTAATATGTAAGTAGCAATAATCAAGCCGTTTTTTAATAATTGGTTAGCTTCAGTTTTTACCTTTCGACGTTCATCAACCTTAGAAAATATATTGTTTAGTTCTTTAACATGGTCGTCCTAAAAAGTAAAAGCCATTACAAATCATTTCTTACTATTATATGGTATGTAAATTCAGCTTTACAAACTGTTTAAAGTCCGACTTACGCATTCTTGTTCAATTTCCTGTTGCTTGTCTTTCAGCTGCTCATCGTGCACATTTCCATTAAGCTTTAAGTTAGCCAAACGGCTTTCCATGTCTCCTTTTATTAAACTGAAACACAATAGTTAAGTTTATCAACAATTAATTGACAATTGAAAACAACTATTCCATCAGCTGAGTACTGCAACAGTCTTCATGCAGTAACTAGTTTCACTTTCCAAAGCCTACTGCAGAGTTCAAATGGCATCTTACCGATTTAAATAGCTTTGCAGCTCGATTTCCTGCTGTATTCGCTTCTCCTCCATAACATTCCAGCGCTTTTTGCGAGCTAGTCGCAACTGCAGTGTAATGTCATCGCCAAAGTTTTGCTTCTGCTCCTTGGACAGATCGTAAGCTGTAAGTTTGGTATATGGTTAGTGTAGAGCACATCTAAGGCCAGCTATTATCTAACCCCGTTGAAGGTGCTTTATGGCCTCGTCGAAGCTGTCGATTTCCATGAGGCCTTGGCCCAGGAAGAAGTGTCCCTTCAACAGATTCCCATCGATGTCGAGGGCGCGCCGACAATCCTGGCAGCACAGTTCCCATCTCTTGAGTTTCAGGTTGCAGAGGGCGCGGTTTGTGAAGTATGTGGCGTTTGTGGGGTTCTTAATCTGCACATTATAGCATAGTTCATATGTGAACAACAAAATACACATTACAACAACACAATATGTGGGACACCTACGATGGCCTTTGAGTAGCAGTTTATTGCGTCGTCATATTTTCGGGCTGCAAATAGACAATTTCCCTGCTCCTTCAGTTGCAGGTCTGATAAATTGGTCGTGGAATAAATGTGTTTAGTCGTCATCCTCACGAATCTTCTGCGTCTGGTCCCGAATTTGATTTTCCACCGATGAAAAGTTAGTGTGTGTGCCACAACACCGAAGCACAGTAAATTTGATTTCCCTTCTCAAAGATTGGGCAACTGCTGCACGAACTCAACAGTAAGCAACGTTTTAAGTGGGCAACGGTGGTGACTTCTGAACGCTCATAACACCAAATGGATCTCGGGCTATTCGCCTGTATTTAATTAAACATAAAACAATTTTCAGCTACGTTAATCGATGTGTTTCCAGAGTTGTCAAAGCTCATGAACCTAAAATAAAGCTGCACAATCATCGATTGCACTATCACCACCCAAACGATACTTTTGGCACACTATCGTTCGCACATTTAAAAAGCAATAGAGATCGCCATTGTCGAGTTTGTCGACTATTAGAACCATCTTACTAAGCCAGGCATCGCAACTTGATAGCACCTACATTTATTGTATATTTAATATGTATTCGCTTGCGTGGGCATTCCAGGATGTGGAGTGAAGTGACAATCGGGGGAACTGGGGGGACTGGGCGGTGTTCGGCGGGCTAGTGATGGAAAAAAACATCATGTATCTTTTTGTCGATACTTTCCGATATTTTTGTTCATAGCGATATTAAGCGATGCATGTTTGCCAAAACATCGGTCGGTTAATTTTACATTTTGCATTAGATTGCGAAATTAGATTGCGATGCCGAAGTATATTAGCTATTTAATATACATAACATACATATACAATTGCAAGTATTGAAATTACAAATCTTTGTATTCCAGAATAACAAGAAAGACAAGCTTTTGCTGGAAATTCTACAGGAAGGCCTTCACCAATGTTGTGAAATGCAACATGGGCGCCAAACAACTTAAAACAGCTGGAAACACCAGTAACATGATAGACCACCATTTGTCCATTTAAAAGGACTGTGGATAAAAAAGGGCAATGCCGAGGTGGACCATAGCACTTCTGATTAAGAAAACGGTAGTACTAGCAATGGATTTATGGAGAAACCAAATGCGCGGTTACTTGGGTATAGTAACTATATATTTTTAAGTTGGCCAAGAAATGACGTCGTTGACCATGGGAGTTCTGGGGCTCAGCGAACGTCACACATAAATGTATCTTTGCAGAATCATAGAAAGTTGCTGCACAGATTGGCACTTTAGATAACATTTAATGACAGCCGTTGTCACCGACAATGGAGCAAGTGTTGTCGAAGTCGTTCTGCCAGCTTTTGGGCGTTAAAATCACATACGAGGTTTGCACATACTTTGATTATAATTGCACGATCTGCTATGCGAAGGGATTCAATTAATTCAACAATTGCTAAGGTGAAAGGAATAGCAAAATGTTTTAAGCAGAGCAGAGAAAACCAACTGACAAGATTTGATCATTTTTGGAGCTTAACAATATTCTAAATGATATTCTCTTGATTGCGTGTCCCTTTGAGGAAGCAACAAAAATAATAAGCGGAGGAACTTATTTTTTCATTTTAAACGTTTGGTTTTAGCTCTCAATTTTGGATCCACTGTTCAAGAAATTACATTTTTATTGAGCAGGTATGCTTCAGCTCTATCTCAAAAGTAAAATCAATGCTGATTCCGATTGCCAAAAACAACAATAATATAGAAAACCTAACAGAAACCACAACAACGAATTCCAATTCTTTTTGGGATCATCACCATCAACTAGTCCAAATGAGGATATCGATCGAGGGTATATAGTCGAGATGATTGCGTACCTCCGAATTCCATCAGCATAAAAAATTGTTTAGTTAAAAAACATCGATGCATCGAGCACAGTTTTTTTTTTTACGATGTTTTTGGTGACACCGATGTTAGGCGATGCATCGATGTTATACTTTGTATACATACATAGATGGATAACGGCATCGATGTTTTCATTCAAACTTGCATCACTATGGCGCGCTTCGGGTTGGACTGTTTTGGAGCAATGTAAGCTCCCACCACCGGACCATCAACCCATACAGACACTAATGAAATGATTGCTGGGTGTGAGGCGAGGGCGTTGGGAGTTTGTCGTTGGCTCTGGACTGCTTCCGAATTTCCACCAAGTTCAATGAACTTCTTGCACAGCGCCAAAAGAGATGTTCGTCCGAATGAGGGTGAAGGCGCCCGAGCTTTGTTGTGGGTGGAACGACTCACTTTCGTTTTCAGTGCCGGGAAAACTTTGAGGCAGGGGCTTTTCTTCGGCGGCAGGGAGGCAGGGAGTGCGTCCAATAGCACTACCAGTGAGCCAGTTTATGGCATGGAGTGGTGTCTGTGTCGAGGCAACGTTCATGTTCATATGCGTGTTGATGTTTTCATGGGGTTCTTGAACTTTACCTCTGTCAAAGATTTGTTTTCTTGTTCCGATTATCCGAAGACAGCGGGAGGAACTTTGTGGCGAAGATTATGTTTCACTTAATTTGTTCAGCTTTTTTAAGTTCTTTATTAAATCAAAAGTAAGGGCATTGATTTGTAGCTTCCGTTCTTTTGGGGGAAAAGCTGAAGCATACAAAGTAGGGAATTATTAGACCTGAACCCAATATTTCCACTGAAAACTCATGGAATTTATTATTTAACTATTTCCCTAATCTGAATAGGAGAAAAGCAAATGTTAGCAGTTATACATTATTTAGGGTTTGATAAAATTAATAATAATTTGTTGTACTTATGTTATATAGACAAAATGTTTTATCTAAAATGTGGGTACTTATTTACTCTAAATCACTACGAATCTACGCAATGTAATTCCGACTATCTCGGTTCTCAAATAAGAATTCTTAATCACTACGAATCTAGGCAATGTAATTCCGTCTATCTCGTTTATCAAATAAGAACTCTATTGCTAACTTGAAGTCAAACAAATATGGGCTTAAATGGGTCAAGCTAACCAACTGGAGTCCACCTCTCTGCATGGCGTATGGGTGGAATAGCAACCCCCTGGAAATTTTCGGCCTGGGACACGCATAAAATTTGGCTACAAAGCAGAGTGCCTATGCATTTCCACCCTCGTCGTCCCCCACAAAAAAAAATAAATAAATAAAACGAACTTCCCAAATGACATCATGTCAGCCCCCAAAGAAACACCCGAAAAGCAGTTGCACTAGCTGTTCGCATTCGTGAGTGTAATGTGAAAACTAAATTAGATACCGAAAGCGAAAGCAGAAAGCACAACTGAAAAATAAGCCCCACGCATTTGGGGTTGTCCGCCTCTTTTCCCGTTCCCGTTGCCTTTCCCGTTCCCTTTCCCCGTCCACAAACCAGAAGAAGAGGTCTTTGAACTCTTCACCAAATGTGGGACGAAAATGGGTCACGGCTTGAGCGTTTTCCAAAGCGAAAAATTTCCCGGTCTCAATTGGAAATGGTCTCTAAGAAAACCACCCAGAATTTCCCCCGAAGCAATCAACTTTTTCCTACTCAAATTTGCTTGAAATATCTATATCCCGCCT